TATTATTACCTTTCTAGAAAACCCATCAATGGCACCAAAGATGACTATATTGTACCCAGATATACAATGGACAACTCTCATTGAAGAATTCAGCATTTCCTTTAAGACAACAAAATTAACTATATTAAAAAGTCTGTGTCAGAGAGGTAGATATACACTCACCGGAACAGTTTGCGGTTCGTAATGATGTGTTCAAGTGCTTTTGGTCCAGGAACTGAGTGTTTGCGCCTAGCATGTTTAGAGTGGAGAGGATGCAGATGCATTGATGCCCTAACGCTCTCCCACTGAACGCCATGTCCTCTGGCTTGCAAACCCCCACAACAACGATAACCCACATGTGGCATGATTTATTTTATTTCAGCAACAAGCTTATCAAGTTCTGAGTCTGATAAAGTGCTGTATAGACCTCTAACAGTGACATTTAAATCTGTCATTCGTCTGTATACAGTCTGCCAAGACACTCCAAGAAGACTGGCAATGCATGACACGGGGAGGCCGTGATGGAGCAGATGCAGCAGGTAATCTGGCCACATATCAAAACGTGAACGTCCAGCTGCTCCGTGAGTGACTTGAATGAACACTGTTATCTGCTAATCAGTACAGCTCTGTGAGACCATCCACAATACACTCAGGAAGAACATGCACTAAACCATCTCCTGTGTGCATATGAACTGTAAAAAGTCCAGAGGTTGTTGACTGAGAATATGCTGAAATCACGACTGAAGCCGCTCCATCATTGTGCGAACCACCTGGGAGATTACTTGATATGAAAAGCTGGTAAAAAATAAATAAATAAAATACTGGACTGTACTAGTGTTCTGCAAAGGTTAAGTCCTGTTAAGAAGAATCTGAAAGTTAAACAAGGGGAAATAAAACACTCACTCACACAAATAGCTTTTCTCCACACCTATCTACCGAGTAGGCTACCCCTTTAGTTGGAATACAGTTCACTTTATTATTATATTTATGTAATATAACGATAAATGAATATGGACAAAACAAAAAAATGTTTCTTAACTTGTCCATGATGTTTTTATAAAGTCATTATTTTTGGCAGAAAACTGATAACCCCATTCCCCTTTTTAATTAAATGATATTTTCTCATTAAGTTAATGAGAATTTAAATAGTAAGTACTAGCAAAGTCCCTTTTTATATGTGTTCATTCAAATCATTTTTAGATTTTAATATAATTTTTTAATAATTTTCAAATATTTGTAAACAGATATATGGCAAAAAAAAAACATCTCTGGATTTTTTGTAATAGTCTTTGGTACAAGCTAAGCAAGTATGAGTTTAGAGGAAAGAAAGCTTTAAATTAACAGTAAACACAGAATTCCACTTAAAGCACAGGTGTCACTCAAACCAATCTAGTACAAACCTGCTCTGAACAAAAAAAAGTATCATGAATTGCATGCATGCTGTCAAATACAATGATCCTTGCACATCTTGCACCAACCGTATCTACACCTCGCGGCGCAGCAGGTGTCTGCACTTAAGTACTGTACCACAGAAATAGACTATTTCAGTGTAGACCAGATTACTAATTATAACAGATTTTGGTGCGTCATGTCGCTCGCATCCGGTGTAGATGTAAAAAGCACCATGGCAGTTCTTTCAGCCTTTTATAGTTAATTATAACGCGATTGTGGTTTGCTATAACCACATTCCCCTATACAGGCTCTATCCTAAAGATAGTGGATTGCTAATATGTCTGGCTGTAGATATGTAATAGACATTTTGCTAAAGAAAACCTCAAAACAGGTTTATTAAAGTCAAAAACTCACCTGTTCCACGCTCATATTCCACGGCTAAATTCCTGGACACAAGGTAAACACGTGTTTCAGGCCTCGGGAGACTAGAGTAAATTGACTAATAGCGCCATCTGCTGTTTTGGAAGAGGAAGTTGCGCCATTGCATTTGTGAGAAAATCTGCCTGCACACATACAGGCGCATCTCAATAAATTAGAATGTCGTGGAAAAGTTCATTTATTTCAGTAATTCGACATTCTAATTTATTGAGATGCACCTGTAAATGTTTATTCTGGAAGTGAACCGGTCCTTTAATTTGATCTGTATTCCACAGGATATTCTGAGAGAGCATTTGTTTGGAGCGACTTCTGAATAAATTGCAATCTGCAATAAATCAGCAACCACTTAACTTTGATTACTTGGAGTTTATGAGCCACCATGAGCTTGTTATACTTAAGTCAATTTCTGGAAAGATAGATGTTCCTCCAGAGATTCCACATGGACTGCAGAACCTTTATCACCTGGTCAGGTCTAAGATTGCTTCATAGACTAGCTTGAGCAGACTGGCAGGAGAGGCCATTTTTCCCTCTTCCACTCAATAATGCCTCTCTCTGGAAGGTCTTCTCTGTCGACACACAACATAAAATCTTTTGTTGTGTCAACCTGCTCTTTAAGGAATGTCAGGCCATCTTCAAGGCTGTGAAGAATGTAATATTAGATCAGTTTCACATTTCTAAATGTAAATCAACAGATCTGAAGTTGAGTGTCATGACCACAGTCCACATCGTAAGAACTGGAAGCAGCTTGATGTGAAGTTCAGACTCCATCAGGTGCTTTTTGAGGCTTTGAGGGAAAACAATGAATAGATTTATTGCAGGCTTTTTAAGTGAAGTACGTTTTATTTGTATTGTATAAAAATAGAATTAGAATTCATTTAGATATGATTTAACACTATTTGATTAAAGTTTGTGTTTGAGGTGAAATAAACAAAAAAGAAAAAAAAAGAAAAAAAATGTTTTTATCAGTTTGTACATAAAGAAATGAATTCATTCATCAACTCATCTTGTACCGGCACATTACTTCTTCTCAACGCTGATTCCCGATGGTTTTAGAGGACAATTACTCCTCATCGCCCGGTGAACACAACGAGTATAATCACCTCGTCCGTCAGCGGAGGCTCGAGATGCAGAGCCAGGCGAGAGTATAAACAAGGCTTAAAAAAGGTGAAGGATACAGCACAGGATTATTGGTTCTCATCATTTATGAGGCACTGCATTTAATGTCCCAAATCATCGCAGTAAACTGTACATCTGAGTGGTCACTACCTTCAGAAACAGACACTGTCTTTCTTTCCAGCTCCTCATTTGGCAAAGGTCTTACAGTTGTATGTTTCTGCAGAGGGTAAAAAAAAAGAGATTGTCTTGCTTGCTCTGTTTAGGAACAGTTATGCTCCTCTTTTTGCCATGCTCGATGTTTGGCCTGAAATATCCCGGAAAAGAGCTGTGGATTTTTAAAGTGCAGATATGAGTTCATTGGTCAGTGTTGTTAGAAGACATAAACATAGTGTGCCTTTTCTTACAGTCTGATCGAGCCAGTATCCAAATGTAACAGCACAGTAATATGTCTAAACACTAAAACTCTGTCTCTGCTGAAAATACAATATAGACTGAGCTCAGGTTTCTTTCAGAACAATCCCCTTCTTTGCTTGGCCCTGATCTCTGAAGTTCTGTCTGTCTTGAGACACTGTTCACGGTGTTGAGCAAGCCTCCTGCTGCTGACTGCATTTCCACATGACCCTAAATAACTAAAAACAAAAGGTTATTCATCTTAGATAGACAGTTATATGAAAAGTGATGCAACAAAATGTTCCATAACTGCCAAGAAAAAAGTACATGATAAAAGTTAAGGGACATACATGATAATCATCAAATCACAGTACTTATCTGCTAAATAGACAGCTAGATAGCTAGCTACCACAGTAATACGCTGACTACTCATTCATAAAGAATAAACACACCAACAAAACATAACTCAGTTGGCACTGTGGCGTATTGCTCTCCTGATTGAGCGCTCTGACTGACCTGAGGCTGAGAAACATGTTCCCTGCCAATATTTCAGCAGTTATTACCTATTTGTATCCCGTTCTGTCGAATGAACCAGCGATGCCAATCATTCATGATTTAATCATTCTTTTGAGTCAGTTCTCTGTTTGCCGAACACATTTGGACCGCTCTCTCTCTGAATCATACAGCCTTCCCCTGGCCTCGGGTCCATGAGGAAAAAATACCATCAAATTGGACAAAAATGCCCCTGCACAATTAAACTAAATCTATTACGGCTGCCGCGTATAAAGTGAAAATGAAATGAAAAATGTTGATTTCTCATTATCTGAGAATATCGCATCATATTTCTTTTTAAGCGTTGCGCATTATAAGCAATCACACACGATTCTGTTGAGTTTATGAATGCAATGACCAATCAGAAGCGTTCAGATGAGTCACGCTGAAAAGCTGGAGTTTTGTTCAGTGCGCGCGCTCGCTGACTGAATTCTGCTCTCTCGTGAATTTTCTCATCATAAACAACATGTGCAATGTAAGTAAGAGATTAATTTCCCAGTGTAGGCAACTTCAGTGATAATAATGGGAGTTGTTTGAGAGAGCTTAAACTCATGCTAGACTAGTGATAATGTAAATTCTTTGCTCGCTTTCGGTATATAATTAATATATGGGTTTGAACACTGCAAGAGTGGATGGAAAAAGCAAGCATTTTCCCCGGTCTATTGTAGAGCGAAGGTTTTGGAAAGCTCACGAATGGCAGAACTGGCTTTATTGTAACAGTTTGCCAGTCCTGAAGGGGACACTTCCAAACAAGTAGCTTTGCCTAAAAGTCTAGTCCTTTCAAAGACGGAACAAGTTTTGTAAACTTTCATCGGACAGTTTATTTATTTAGAATAAGGTGTACTGATGAACTGTGCACAGTAAGTGTGTAAATGCTTGATTTCATGTTGACTTTAAAGCTATTAAAAAATATATATAAATCGCTCTACATTTGAGGTGAGCTGACACGGTTATTGAATAAGATTATACATAAATGTTCATAAACATTAAAAAGCACAATTACTCATGAATGTCAAGACTACACTTACTGTAGCATAAACTATCAAAAGAAACTAAAGTAATCGTGGATTTAAACGCTGAAATTATTTCATGTCAAGACAGTCTATGATCAATTGACACAAAAGCAGTTTGACGTCGTCATAATTTAATTTTATTCTGTTAAAATTAAGAATATGCAGACATTTCAGCAAAGCAGTTAAGTCATACTAACTTCACCTTATACAGTTACATTTCTGTCTGGATCAAAACATCTACGTAGATGTCTTAGAAATGGAGTAAGAAATAAAAATATGTTCTTTAGACACATTTCAACTAAATAACATTTTTGGGAAAATCATTGCTTGAATTGCACATTTGCAATAAAATGAAGCTTAAATTTACAAAGAAAGCTTAAATAACAACAACAACAAAAAACTTTTGTAAGCAAACAAATTCTGACCTAAACAAAAGACAGTATGTTAGGGTTTGGTTTACACTAAAACATCCCCCCGCTTCCACTCTAAAACACATATTACATAAATATAATCACAATAAAATATTACTTTCTCCAATCTGCCTAGGAGAGCACAAGCAATATTTTCTGTAATAGCAGGTCAACAAACATGTTTAAAGTTAGTGTACTAGAAGATTTTCATATTAAATTGTAATGTCAAAAAGTTCCAAAACACATTTTTCTGTGATCTGAAATCAATGTAAAGTAGAAACACAATAGAGATGACTTGAGTTGTCAGTGCTCCCTCTACGCCTGAGCTCAACATGTACTTCTACACACAATAACTGCACTGTAATTCATGTACATTTTATGAACAAATCAGTGATGAGGTCAATGTATTACATGATGAAGTTCATTTTTAAACGTTCTTCTTTGTCCTTTCAACGCTTTTAAACACTACTGAAGAATGCGTGTCAGAGCTTGTTTGAGATGTTATGGTATAATGCATATATCCAATGCAAATTTAACTGCACTGTTATAAAAAGGTGTTTTCTGGGCAAGAGTTGAACGTATTTCGTTTTTTATGTGAATCTAATATATTTATTTTGATGCTCTTCATATGTATCAGTCTCTAAAGATTCACGCTCATCACAAGTCTAAATCATACTCCCTATCATTTAGTGCCTTTGACTAAAATAAGACTATTAACAAATTCTTACAGATGAGAAATAATGACTCAAATGCAAGCTCTGGTCTCTTTCTAGAGTATGGCTAGTACCAAGTACATTTTAAACTTGGCATCATATACAATTAGGGTTATGTACTTAATCATTTATTTTTCCTAGTAAAGAGTGTGTAATAACAGATTTTTTGCTGTTGTACTAAGAATTGTGAAACGTCACTGGCACTGAGACTGACGAGGTGTATTTTAATACTTCATTATTGGGATTATTGTAACATGATAGAGATCACCGGTGACTGTGTCTGCTGTATTTGTGACTGGAGACGTGTTTTACTGTGAGAGCCTTTATTAGTATTATACTGATGTGGAAGAGGCGTAGAAGGAGCACTGAAGGGTCACTGGGGTCACATCAGCACGTCCAGGTCGTCGCAGTGGTCCTCCTCCTCCGGGACTCTGAGAGACAGCACCTCCTCGTTCAGGAACAGACCGCTCAGTCTCTCCTTACGAGCCTGTCTCTGCTCCTTCAGCTGACGCTTGCGTAAAGCCTTCTGCTGCAGCTTCCTCTGCTTGGAGCGCTTCTGGAAAACACCACCAGCTTTTATTGGTAAGAATAGCAAAGCATCTCAATCTGGGATGCACCGATCGACTGGCCAACAATCTTTATCAGTTCATCTTAAACCATCTTAAAAGTCTTTTTTCAACTTTCAGTTCAGTTCTACAGTGTCTTTGGCACGTTTGAACCTAATTAAAGCCACTGAAGTAGCATCTGTCATTTTCACCAGAAGATTAAGTTATAGCACTGTGATTAAATGCCACGAGGTTAAAAAAAAAAAATAATAATAATAATATATATATGGTTGGATACCGAAACCTGGTACCAATATGGCACCAGTACCTATGTAACCGGTATGTACTAGAACCGAATCCGAACGCAGATTTCGGTGCCATGCCTGAGCGATCGTCCTCTGGTTCTCCGAAACGGACGTAAGAAGCATCATCACCGGCACCGCACGTGAAAAATAATTTCCCGACTGAGAAAATGCACGTGAACTCAAGTCGCCAGTATGAATGAAACAGACATCATGTGTTTATAGTGCTAATGGCCAATTCATCATTTTTGGGGGAATTTTTATTTATTTATTTTTAATAAGTATCGGTTCAGGCACCGTTTAGTATCTATTTGGCACCGGTATCGAAACAAACCCAAACTATACCCAACCCTATATACAGTGGGTACGGAAAGTATTCAGACCCCCTTAAATTTTTCACTCTTTGTTATA